TTTCTACTTGAATTCACTTTATCAGAAGGTTCCTCAATGCTTTTATGTTCGATTGTTGATATAAACGGCACTAGAAGAATTTGTTGTAAGTACGCTTCTGTTACTTTTGAGATTCATATTTTGAGTGAAACGAAATACGGGCTATTCAAACTTAATATTGTGTTTCAATAGCAAACTCATTAAACAAAACTAATACGATTATATTATGTTTTTTATTTGCGTAGGTACTTTTGCAAAAAGACTCTAATGCTGCGGGTGCAATGACCTGGGTTAAGTCCGTTTACCTTGATGACCCAGGTATGTCAGAAGAAATGTTGCTAAATGCCACCTAAAAACGAAAATGTAATAGTAGAAAAGATTCCGAAGTAGTGAGAAAAACACGAAATGGACTCCAGTCTGTGGAACGTATAAAATATTTTTTGTAACGTGTTAGCGACTAGCTACGAGTTTTTCATTTAAATCTCGTTCGCAAAAAAACGTTTCCGTCGTAGCCGTGACTACGTCGTAGCACGAATTTGCAGACGGGCTACGAATGCAAAAAAAGAAAAAAATTGACGTAAACAAAAGGCAGGTTGTGTACCAACTTTTATAAAAACTGAATAATAACAAGGATTTTTCATTTTAAGGAATAAATCCTTTATCATATTTATTTTAAACAAGGATTTATATTATGTATACATTGGCTTATGGCTTTTCTTCTATAGATTTTTCATGTTTATATGTACCTGCTATTTTATCTTGAGCCTGAAAAAGGCCTTCAGTATTGTGTATCGCTTCATTAATTCGGCTCGGTATAGCGAAGAGGTTCAATATGTCCCTGCCTCAGGGCTTACCCTTGTCAAAATAAAAGACTTGTGTTACTCGTCTAGTTTCTTTGAAACATATGTTAAACTCACACGTCGGAATGAAGCGTATTTTTTATTGAATATATTGTTTTCTAAAAGAGCTCCTTTAATACTCGTTTTAGAAAACTAGATAGGCATTTAAAAATTTTGGTTTAAGTTTCTTTGTAGGTAAATTAAAAAGTTATGGCATTGGTATAAGATAAAAAAGAAAATATTTATGTGAAAAATTGGCTATTGATAAGCTGGTAGTCTGTGCTTATTGCAATAAACTAACGTTTACTTATATTGAGTGAATTAACTTCTAATTTTCATCGAGCCTTTAAGTACAATCTATTAACATAACCTACTTTGTTTACTAGTTTCTAATACCTACAATTGAATTGAATTAGCAATGAGGGACTGTAGAAAGTCGATTGCATGGTGTTAATTATGTACTTGTGAAATACCTGCCGTGGAAGATAACAAGTTATTTCCAACGCTCGACTTCGTCTCATTAAAATTTCAAGGAGCGGAACAAACAGAACGGCATTCGCTTTGCAATATCCGAACGCGGAATTTAAAAGTTTTGCAGCGAGAATAGTTGCCATATTGTTAGGCCTTTTTGTGACGTTTTTCTCGATTTTTCGCTCGCGTTTTCCAGCTGTTATGAGAGAAAAAAGAACGATGATATTCCCGCTTCGTAACTATTTAAGCTGCTTTTAATTATGTGCTCAAAGTATTTAGGTATCATTACTATTTGTAAACCTATTTGCTATTCATTGCGATTATTGAACATGATTCATGAAATGTTTGTATTAACCTTTGAATAGAAATAGAATACAATGTCATCAATGGAACGTATACATTATAAACGAAACATCAATTTCGCTAATATACTCAATCAGCTCCAGTGATCTGCAATCAATGTGCATTTATTGATAGTGTCTCGTTCGTGAATAAAACGATCGAATAAAATTCCCAGTTCATGATTCATGCCAGAGCATTTTAGTCTTTATGAACCCACTAAAACACGAGGATTTGGATCTAAACAAAAAATAATACGCCACCGAATTCAGAAGTCTCTACATATACGGAATATTTATATCGTCAACATACGTCCCGATTCAGTTGGTTAGCCGCCATTTAAATGGGGGACCAAAATTTAATGTGGTGGATTTAAATTTTTCTGATCGCTTTAACTTTGCACGCGGCTAAGCATTTAAGTATACGCCGGCTCCTTGCTGTTTTACGACTTTGTCGTTTAAATACCTAGGTTACTCTTTTATATTTCATTACAATAAATATTGTAACGTATGTTAAAATACATTGTTTGCATTTAAATTATTACTATATAGTTATGTGGGGTAAGAAAATGTACACATTACATGTACATGGTTGCGTGTGTACAAATGTATATTCCTTAAAATCTGTAACAATATTGGAAATTCTATGATATCGAGGAACCCAGTCCGGGGGTTCTGGCTAAGGGGTTCCCGTCCCGACCCATAACCCTGCAGATGCCGAGGTAATAACCCTACACGGATCAATCGGCCGGGTTAGTAACCGTTTACTTATTGCCTACATTAAATACATTTACGTAATACTATTGACGAACATTACTGAATTCATTAGACTGTATGCATTGTTTGGCCAAGCCATAAATGATAAGTATGTATGCGATATTGTGCCAGGAATGGTAGCCACATGTGACAAACTAGCGATACATTGACTCGCCAACCGCCACATGTTTGGACGGTTATTGCCTTTATGACAATTAACTTTATCATATTAATAAGTTAAATTGAACTAACACTTTAATAGATCACAATAAATATTAAGTATGTATATCTCACCAAATTTGTTTTATCCATATTCTCAGCACAGTTGATACAAATTGTTGAAAACTTATTACTTCTCTAATTGTTTATTATCTATAAAGCACCGTAAGCTTACAGTTACAACGTCTAACGCGAAAAGCAAAGACACGTAGCAAGGCAACACTGATCTTTTATTAGTGTCCGCGAAATTATTATCATTGTTGGCATGTAAAATTACAGCAAATTAAATATTGTCCGTCAAGCGATCGGTACGCGAGATCAAGTGACAGAAGGCACAACGCATATGGTCCACTACATCGTCTAAGATACACTTATTAACTAACACCAATGTTTAAATGGAATAATAACAGTCCACGAGATTAGCGGGTGGCGCGTTGGTTCCGCGATCCTTTGTTAAGTGCGGTCCAGCTCCATGGCGCCAGCTGTGATCGGCGTGCTCGGTTCGACGAGCGCGCGTCTGGCGACGGGACGATCGATGCCGGCAACAGATTTACATTTTCCGTCGAGGAAATCGGGAAAGTTTGTCACGTGCGTGTGTGAGCGCGGGCGGCGAGTACGGCGCGCCCGCACGCCGATAGTGCGCGGCGCCGAGTGCCGCCCGCCCTGCCGCCGCCGCCGCGCCGCCACCGCCGTACGACACACAGCCGCACCGACACTACTCACTATATGACATTGAAACCCTCTATCCCAATACTTTATACCTCACACGCTAATGCCTCCAGTGTGTTAAGCACGATTAGGCCTCGAAGTGAAAAATAAATCGTAAATAATTTGGTTTAAAACTCATTATGGTGTAATCGATTGACAATATTATAGGAAAACGCAGAAAAAGCATGATAGCATTCTGAAGAGATCTTTGCCTTAAAACGTAGGATGTCATTGAGCGCAGCGTCGAAAGTACAGTTTTATGTCAAGATCGTTAAGGTGCCGAATGGTGCGGTACTGTTAGGGGTGGTTAGGGTCGCGGCGGTGGTACAGAGGTGACGTGCGGGGCAGGGGCGGCGTGAGACGTAGGAGTATCGATTTTGGTCACCCCGCCCTCTCCCCCAACGTTGCGACAGTGTGAGTGAGCTATATAGTCGTCACTGCGAGATCGTGTTGGTTGCACACCGCGGGAAGCAGTGTCCAAATATTAACAAAACGCTTTGTTCACACTACCAGACTACTAACAGTACTAACACTCCGCTAACTGTCGCAAACAGAACAGTTGCTTGCCTTTGATTTTAGGATGGTGAGTCATATCAATGCGCTGCAAAAGGCGCTAGGAAAGTTGTTACTCGATTAAACACAAACTGATAAAGTTAACCTATTACTTCAACTGCTTAGTGTTTCAATTTAAAGCTTTTATTTCCATGCAGACGACAATTTTTTTTTTGTCAGTTTGTTTAATGTATGTAATTACTAATTTTAATAAAACCATTATTCTTATCATTATTACCCCTTCTGCATGACTATTAGCTAGATTTTAATTATGCCGAACCAATTAACTGAGTCCTAAGAAATAATCCGAATGACACACGCGTTAGGCCATCGTTACATTATGTCGAGAGTGACGGAAGGCGGGCCGACCACTTGTGGATTGAGAGGCTCAGCCGACGCTATTGGAAAATGGATTTTCTTGACAGTTAACTAATTTAAATAACAAATATATAATAACCTTTAATAAACATCGCCTATAAACGAAACCGGACTATTTCAAGCAAAAAAAAAACGGAAAAAACTAATCTGAAAGTAACCAATTCCTTGGTCAGCCAATTTTTTCGGTGTGACACGTTTCGTTATTTTCTCATTTTATATTTTACCAATAAAGAATTTGTAGAGCCTGTTTGTATTGCGAGACATCTGTAAAAGGGTAGAATCGATACGTCTTTCTACCTGACCGGTTACATAAAGTTTGTTACATAAATCTAGAGTGGAGGAACAACTAGCTTAGTTTTCAACGCAATTTTAAAATGGTCGTAAATTTGAACTCTGGGTTAAATGCATTAGAAATCTTATCCTATGGCTTATAGCGATATTAAATACATTATTTTCCATTAGGGGTTTAAGAGTAGTAATGAAACGGTAAAAAAATCAGTGTGTAAGTAACTCGACGCCCCTAAAAACCCTAAAAAGCTCAGCCATTACCAGCACAATTCCACCACAGCAATGAATCTCACGCCCTAAGGGAGCCTTTTAATTTGTGTTTTATTGTACTCGACGAGAGCCATCGTTCTCGTGAATTTAACTGAATAATGCCTTACACAACAAAGACTACTTAGACTATTAGAAATCATAAAAGACAAATAAATGCTTAAGAATGAGAACATAAGTAGAACTCAATATTCTAAGGACTTACCTTTCATCAAGTTGTTGTAACTGGGAAGGCTGCTGGTAGTTCATTCGGCGACCGTACAGCGAAGCGCCTCCTTCCGACATATATCCATCCATCATATCGTTATTTCTCGCACACTCCATTTCTCCAAGATTTATTCGTCGTAAACAATCACCGTCTGACATGTATCCTGAAGCTATTTCAAGATCACAATAATCCGGGTTGGAAAATCCGGGGCCGTAATTAATACGGTCACGCAATCCCATATTTTCTCTGCCAAAATTTGCTTTCACTGTGTTGGCGTGATGAGGATAACCGGGAATATTCTTTTGCGTTAAACCCGAAGTTCTCATGGGTAACGTCAGATGACTGTTGTATCCTCGTAACAATGGTCTCATGGGTAATACATTCATCATTGGATTCTCGTCGTCACCAAGTGAATTGTCACGACCGTGAGATGGCGTACTAGACCGACTGTCATCCATCCTTTTGTTCAACTCGGTCAATGTTCTGTTATGATCAAATGTCGGTTTTGGAACGGACTTATCCAAAGGTCTTCTCTGTGCTGCTTCTTTTTCTGATATCTCTGCTTCATTGATAACTTCATTTATATAAGTAGTATTCATATCCAGTCTTTTGTTTGCGTTACTAGTAGCAGTTTTTGATATTTCTGAACCAGATTCACTGGAAGGACGGTATATAACGCTACTATCACTGGAATTAGAATGCTGCCCTGTAGTACTATGAGTAGAATTGGAATGGGAACTTTCAGACATTTGCGAAGTGTGAGTATGACTTCCCGCATTAACAGGCATCGGCGATACAGCTAAAGTCTGTTTTTGTGTTATATCTTTACTTAAATTAGACTGTTCTCTACTGAATGGAAGTGCACTTATGTTATTTGTAGAATTTAAACTAGAATTGCTTTGTATAGGACTTAATTGACTATTTGTACTTTTGTGTATAATATGTCTATCATCTTTCGCTATTTTGAAAGTTCCTTTCACAGCAGCTGTTGGTTTTGGAATGCCAGTTTGTGGGCCAAAATTTTGAGCTGCTGCTTGGTTCTGGCTTCCTTGACTTGATGGTGGTGATACATTTTCGTTACTCTGATGGTTCTTAATGTCTGATCTGCTTTCAGATCGTTTTTCGCTTAGTCTCATTTGACTGCCGGAAAGTTTCACCATCTTCGAGTTAGAATTCCTTGAATGGTCATCGATTTGGTTTAGTTTGGTATTACTGATAGATTTCGGAGCAGCCAGTTTAGACTCCTTGTCACGAGCAGGAAGCTTCGGGCTATTTCTCGATTTGTCACTGCTTGTTTTAGAGTTAACTTTGCTCAAATTCGTTGAAGATTCTTTAGGGGATTTAGAATTAACTAACTTAGATTTTACATTTTTTGCAGACTTGTCTTTTGATAAAGTATCGCTTTGTTGCCGTATTTTGGGTCCTACTAGATTAGAAGATTTGATATGTGAATTGGGAGTATTGGAAGACTCATTGAGACTAAGACTGGAGTCGGATCTTTCACTTTTAGCTGATGAGAAGCCACTGGATGAACTGGTTCGTTTTGATACTGCAGTACTCTTGCTGCTTTGTTTCTCATTACTTATTTTGTCTTTATTGAAAAGCTTCAGTTTGTCGAGCATGGAATGCTTGGTGGGTGTTCCATTTTGACTGGACGGTGATTGTTGGTGCTGCTGAGTTTGTGATAATGTCGATGGGATTTTACTTCCGGGCACTAGAAGCGAGGAGTTAGGTCGAGATCTGTAAACAAAGGTATCACTTTATTATTAATTTCTATTACGTGCTGATTTTTCGGCCAGTTACTTAACGAACGAAAACGTTTTAAACGGCGAAATGCGTATCTACATGTGCAATGCACATCTATATAAAAACTACATCAAAGTAAGTTCAATCCACTTTTTGAGAATTAGTTTACAATTATTGAGAAACAAAAAAATAATTTAAATTCATAACGAATGTAAAATTTCATACAATGGTTGTCTTTTTAATTGATTTTAATGGTTGTTAGCTACCATTTTTCATTTTCTACCATATTTAATCAAAGAATGTAAACCAATTATATCAAATGAATTCTAAATAATATACGCCGTCAAACAAAACAACGGTAGAGCACGCCGGACGAAAACCACTTAAAAGTTTAAAACCAGCATATTAGATAAACAAGCAAAGTTACCCGGATGAAGAAGTTGGCGCACGCGGTATAAAGCTGACAGCTCCCTGTCCCAGCGGGCTAGTGGAACGACTGGAACTTGCAGACAGACCACTTTTGCCACCTGCAATAAAACAATAGCATTCCATCAATGATTTACATTATAACTAACCGTCCTATAAACTATGCCACTCACATCACATCATACCTACTCGTGCAGAAATGATGTCAATTTTTATCCAGCCCATAGGTATTTATAAACTTATCTAGCCCACCAAGCTGAGCAAATATTATCAATGGAGACCAAACATTCACTGGATAAGTATGAGCTTTTATCGAGTGCACGGGTGGTCCGTGGTGCGCGCGCGACTAGTACTAAGCCGCAACGCGAACAGTGCATGCGCTATAGGCACCCACCAAAAATAAATGAACCCTAACACCCCTTCTACTCCACACACTGTGCTCACACGCAAGGGAACTTCGATTCAATGCAGCAGATCACCTAACACTGGTGTGCTACTAATCAATAACGCCGACTAAAATAATAATTCGTGATGTCATTACATTACTTTTGAAATGTATGCGTGTGCGTAAACTAACCCTAAATAAGGGACGTTAATGTGTCAATGGAGGCTATAAATAGTGCACATTATAGGCTCCAGTTCTAACTGGGTGTTTGTTTTGGCACTAACTAGATAATAATGTCATATAGTATAACACTTGCCCTGTATATCATTGGAAGTATACTTTAACGAGCAATTTTCAAAAACCTATCTCTATATTTTCATAGGATTGATACATACAAAATATATACCCATACAAAATGTAACAAAAATCTTTTTAGGAGATAATCAAATCTATACAGTATATTTTGATGAGAAGATACGGGAATAGAAATAAATTTATGATATGAGTACAGATAGTAATACATTACTTAGTTATAATATGGTTACGAAGTGCTCTATGCGAATTCGCTTAACGTTAAAACGATCGACACATTTATGACGTTCAGAGTTCTGATTGGCCAATTCCGTAGTTAACTTACCAATCAGAGGACTGCAAGCTCTAACATTTCGATCGCGTCAACGTAAAGCAAACTCGCATTAGACACTAAGTCCATAACTGAAGAGACATTGGAGAATTGGTTTTGTAATTATTGTCTCATAATTACTATAATTACGTAAGGAAATGCTTCGTTAAGACGTTATAGTTTTATGGCTGTAATTACAAGTGTGCGTAGGTGTGTATGTATGTAGGTACCTACTAATTAACATAAAACTATATTTTATGACGCCTGCTTTCCCTATTGCTGTAAGCAAAGGTTTTTATATGTTATCTGGTTGAACACTATATTATTAGTTAACTGCTTCCTGAACGGGTGATTTTAAGTACAACTACCTGGCAACCCGAAGACCGAGTGCCCACTCGGGTTGATTTTGGTATGAAAAGTGCTAAGGACTGCGTTACCATTCCCTAGATGGCTTTCAGCAAGGAGGTTACACACTAAACTGACCAAATAAATTATTTTTGTCATTCGTTCATTCAAACTTGACTATTGGAAAATTGTCCTCAAATAGTTTTTTTATGTGATAGGTCGGCAAACGAGCATGCTGATTATCAGAAATCACAACTAGAGAAGTTATGAGTCCGTTGCCCGCCTTTTGGGGATTAGGATTTTGGATGGGTATGGGTATTGAGCCTCCGGTAGCCTCACTCACTTGACGAAACACAACAAGCTGTTAACGACTAGAGGCTTACTAGACTTTTTTTAAAAATGAAAACAAATATAACATTAAATTTGGACTTCTGAAAATCAATTATACCACACTAGAAAACTATTCACTTCATCAAAATAAAATCTGCTTAGACGAGACCCTCATCTCCATTCACTAAACCTAGTTTAATTTACTTCCCTGACTCATGGCAATCATTACTTAGTATGCAACATAAACTTTGAATAGACACATCGCTAACAATGGCCACATTCAGGTGCATAGTTCGAAGGAAGCATATCGTTGTAGTGTGCCAAATAACATTGTCAATCAACTGTGGACTACATCCGTTATTTATTCAGGCCGAGACTATCCATCACTTTGGCTAGGACAATATCACTCCTTACTATATATAGGTATTATTTTATTTTATTTCATTTGAAAGGTTAATGTGTATTAAAGAAAAATATCTCACAAATTTACAATAGAAATGCGAAAAACAATTTTAATGTTTAAAATGCTCAAAATCCACTTCACTCTAAAAAGGACAGAATAGAAAAATGGTTTGTTTTATTTATTCATATACAGGTACTTACAAAAGTCTTCAAGTTAGGCTACCTATTAGCACAAAAAAAGAAACTGTCTGATACCATAAACAAAAAAAAAACAACACAAACACCCACCAAAAAAATATTCACAACATTCTATTGTTCCGAAGTAATTTTAAAATTAGAACGTCAATGAGCGGCCAGTATGAGTCGTGGCCGTCAACTGATGCATCTGCATCAAGCTCGCCTCAACATCTACGCGATATCAGCGGGCCACGGCAAGTCCCAAGATAACTCGACCCGCGTGAGAATCATAACAATCGTGTTGACATACGAATTTGTGTCGCAAAAACAAAGTTTATATCGACACAACTAAAATGATAAAGAAAACATTGGCTGAATATTTCCAGATATTACTTCGAGTTCACTACAACAATTGAATGATAAAATAAATATTGAACGTCAAAAAAAATCAGGAAACAATTACTTTTACGGATAAATATCAATTAAGAAAGATATAAAAATCTTACTTCTAACCAAATAACAATCAATCTCTAAATGAAAACAACTAAATCCAATAATCCAGCCAAGCGAGACTTTACTATGCCCTCGGGCCCCAATGTTGGCCACCCTTTGAGCCCTCGCCAAGATGCCCTTGAATAACAAGAGGGCAACATGAGGATTTATTATTTAAATAACACAAACATACACCACACGCATTCATACTTCAAGTTTACTTGCATGAAAACATTGTGGAAACAAAAAAAGAAACTGATGTCTCAGAAGAAATATAAATCGGATTGAATCATTCAAAATAAACACGAAAGAAAGTGATCTAATATCAAACATTTATAACTACGATCCTTGATAAGGAATGTGACAAAAAATCCGAAGATAAGAAGGGGACGATTCATCACACGTGTGCCAGCCGGTATTCATCAGCATGTGGGCAAGTTATAAAACGGATGGCGTTAGGGCACTTATCAGTGAGAGTAAGTGAATAAACTTCGTGTAAACCCTTAGGTATGGGACTCGGGGTTTATTTTAGGGACCTTTCAGTCCTCAGGTGGGTTTACGAGCGACAAATTGGCTTGCGGCGACGGGTTGTGGAAATGAAAGCTAAAGGTCGCCCGCAAATTCATATTCGACGTGTACTGCAAATTTTTGAGATGGAAGTACGTGTTGTACATTCGTGGAGGCTGATTCTGTTAAATATTTAAGGGCCGCTGAACAAAATCAAGACGCAGAACGCTTTATGGAAGATGGTTCGTGAGTAAAGTGTTGCAATCTTATTTACTTGAGTTGATTGGCAATCTGACGTTGAATTTTATGCTGAAGCTGTTCTACGGAGAAGGAATGGAATACATATAATGGACTGATAGGATTCTATTTAACCACGTTAGTAAAAGAAACGTTTCCTTAGTTCCCGTCGGTGTGTTTCTCAAGTCATTAGTTTCAATTTACTTTGTTTATCTGTACCGAGGCGTTGCAGCGTTGAGGCAAACACAGACGCACAGACGCCTCCTGTCGAGTACAGAGGCTAGATATCGACGAGAGCGCTAAATAAGTAATTGGATTTAATTAATTATACTTCTCACTCACAAGCTGCACTTTATTCCGACGTCTGGTCTGCGCTTGGAACTGCAAAGTATTCTCTTAATAAATTATTGCGTTTGCTTACGCAGGCACCTTAACCTACGGATATCAGACTTATACTATCGTAATAAAGTTGAAAATGTATAATATAAAGACAGCTTGGCGTAGCTTGATGTCTGTACAATGAACTAAGAGAAATTCTATTTGTTCGTTACATCAAGTAAATGAATAAATCTTATAAATGGTCTGGTAGACTTTCTTTTGTTTGGTATACCAATATTATAATTGTTTGGAAGAAGGTTACCGATTGTTTTTGGAAGTATATTTTCTTCTAAGGCTTTTGTTTCAATATTTTGTTCGAACCATTGAAAAGGTTTCCATTTCAATTAGTGCCTAATTTGATTGTTTTGCCTTTTACCTTCTGTTTTAATTGTTTTATTAAAACAATAAAAATATTAATAAGAAGATTGGGTTGCTCTATTTGAATATTGAGTGTTTATATGGATCACGAGTGACTCATCCATTTAAAACATTAATGAATTACGCGTGTGTGCCCCTTTACAGCATATCAGATCAATATATGCAGAAAATCGGCGTGAAACAACCACAGCGTTGTGTTCAGCCGTGTGATTGAGGTTATCACAGGCCCAATCCTTCTTCCTCTCCCCCAATTCCTAAATGTCTAAAACCCTAATCCATAAAAGGTGGCAAAACATTCTAACTCCTGTGATACGGGTGCAAATAGGCGACACCGATTGCTTATGAACTGAGCTTATGAAATGAGTCAAAACAAATATATGAAATTCATTAGTTTTTGTAAAACTAAGACCATGCTTTAAATCATGTTTTCTCTTAGTCAAGTATAGGGCATACGTTATAAGCCCAAACTTGATATGCTTTTAGTAGAATTCAAAGCTTCCAAATCTGGTTAAACTATGTATAATCTACCGATTCTTAGATTTTATTACGACGTTCGTTACCGATAAGCCTTTAAAAGCGTATAAAGTAAGTGTGACGATAAATAAAAATATATTCCTGAAGAAAAGTTGAATCAATCGTTTGATCTAATAAAATTAAATGGTCTATTAAAGTGTGTTATATAAAAAAATTATACGTAATCTCGATTTAATTTTAAATTTAGCTTTGATGAAAAAAACGTTGAAACCTTTGAAGACAGCATGAAAAGCTCCAAAAATAAAGTATCCGATTACAATTAATAAGGTCTATTTTACTGATTACCTATTTTATAAGAGTTTTACGGTAGGTACTTGTGGGGTCGAGTCTAGCGCCCAGTTTGTTATGAAATAGAAAGTAGCTACTAAGATCTCTGTTTGTCTATGAATATGGGTGTATATTAGACTTCATCAATAATAGAAGGGCTGTACGTCTTAGTGGATTTAATACTTAAAAGGACCTGCTTGTGTTTGTTTAGTTTTTATTTTGTAGGTTCACCTTAGCTTTAACTCAATTTAGGAAATTAGACCACTCTTCGCCAGTTCAATTGCAAAATTAGTTTATTAACCAGATAAGTTAACGTCGGCCCAGCACGTCGATTCTATAAAATTTGTTTGATTTTGAATCTTGTTCGAGTGCGAAGTGAGTGTCGAAGTAACGAGGTAATTAAATTTTAGAATGCCACTTTTAACGTCATCTCATACTTTATCTATCAAAATGTTGCTGTCAATTTAGTTCAACTCGCAAGTGTAGCGCTAGTGTACTACCACTCACAGCGGATTCAGATTCGAAGTTTAGAATGAAGTCTTACAGAATCACACCCCAGATCTATGCGATACCCAATATCATTTCTATTGTGTCTAATATACCAGAAAAATAATGGTTAAACTAGCTAAGTCATCATCAGCCGGCAAATATCCGTAGCTAAACAAAGTTAATGCTCTACGTCGAGCGACAATTTACCACTTTTCCATTGGTTCCCTACGGCTTTTGACGATGTTTTCAGTCCTTCTAGAAGGCCTGCCCAATAGCCAAATACAAAACCCTTTAAGATATTATCTTTCGAGATAAAAACTGTATCGTAAATTGAAAAGAATTTACTTCTTTAAATACTAAACCATTCCAAACAATAAATATGTATTTAAACAAACAAAGAAACAAAAGAAAATAATCCAAACATGTATTTATAGGCTATGTCTTTCATTGTTATAGCAAAGAAAGCTACAATTATTGTTAAATAGTTGACTGGCTGACTAAACCTAGACTACCTAGAACTAACATGCGTTGACAATACATGAATTAAATAGCCACTTTATATTTAAATTGCTTTTATGAAAAGGAAGTTGTAAGCGATATTCAAAGTAAGTAGTTAATAATATTCAGTGACCTGTTTACTAAGACTCGTTCCTAGCCAGCAACGAACAGATGTTAGATGTATTTTATTTGACTATTAGGTACTTGTAATAAGACATTATTATGTTATCTAGTAAAGAAGTGGAGAAAGGTGTTAAAACTACTCAGTGCATGTACTTTTTCAGTTTTCCCAAAAAAGTTTATGTGTACATTTTCAAGCTTTCACTCTTCAGCACAACCTGCACAACAATAATTTTAGCTATATGTTATTTTATGATGTAACTTATTAAAATTATAAATGCGAAGGTGTGTTTTAGATCATAACGTGGCACGGGATTATTATATGGCATATAATAGCGGCTGGATATTGTTAGGAGATTAAAAATCCCACTCATGAGCGAAACGTTGGATAACACCTAGTTAAAGGGTATACATATTATGTAGATATGATTGTAACACACATGATACCTAAAATTATCAAAAACAACAGACCATCGATTATATTAATTATTATTATTTTCTTTCACCAACAACGAGGAAACTTATATAATTATGAATACATATCAAAACAGTAATTAACAAAAGCAACGTAAAATATTACGGTCTGACGTTTAATTTATCCGTAAGTACTTACTATTCAGCTTACAATTGACATCGAACAATAATTGGTATGGCTCACGGACTCCTCGTTATCGATTTTGTTCTATCGCCAGTTGTATTGTATTTCGTTTACTAATAGCTCGGTTCAGTTTGGGAATAATCGACATTCAAACTAGAGACTATCTAGAAAAGTAGGTGAAATAAATTTTCGTGAATAATTTACTTAGGAAAACTTACAGAAGTGTGTGATGTTCTCCATAAGAGGCCTACCTCAAATGAGTTTGCATTTTAGCACATAACAACAGTCCTTTTTTGAATAAGGAATATCATCAAATAACTTCTTTAGCCTTGGACGGGGCGAGAGGGTGTCTCAAACTCATACTAACTCAAAGCCACCCCGTTCCTTTCTCCTGCTCCAGGCCATAGCTGCTGTACCTACATTATGCAGCGCTTTAGCCCTAACCCCAGCTGATATCAATACAGTCTAGGATTCTCTTTCATAAATCAATGAACCCTTTTACCAAAACCTTTGAAAAACCTTTTGATTTCATTACAAGAAAAAAACACCTACAACATTGACAGCAACCAGCACTTCAGTAAGAATAAATTAGCAGAGAACCTTTCTTACACATACGCTAATTAACCTCTTACGATCTCAGCACAGTTAAAGATGCAAGTACCAGGAGAACATAGAATGAAAGGAGGTGGGTGTTTACCTGTATGCGACGGTGTGGCAGGCAGTGGCCGCTTGTCAGGCGGGGCGCGGCGAACAGCGGCTGCGGACGCCGGCAGTGGGATCGACGTCTGCAGCACCGACACTTGCCTGCACAGAAAAGATATATTTAGTTAATATGAAACATGTAAAAAGATGAATAGTACCTACGTCAATGTATTTTATTGCAATCAATTCAGGATCAATCGTATTTGATAAAACATTTGCTGTAAGGCAAAATTTAATATCTATGAATATTAAACCGGGGATTGTCCTCGAGTGCACTTTCATGGTGCATAAAGTGATAATCATCGACTGATGCACAATTTCACTTATATTAAAGTTGTTTCAAAGGCCTCTACGAGTTGGCTTGGGCCTGTGTTCCCGTGAATGGAAGCGAGCATAAGAGCAAAATAAGAGAATCCCCGAAGTACTATATAATCGAAATCGTTTATAGTATGGCTTCAGTATAAATTATTCCTTATAATAATGTAAATATCATTTTTATCACACGTGTCGTAGTATAGGAATCACTTACCTAATCAGTACAGAGTTACTTAAAGCTATTAGCTATAAATACCTTATAATTATTTTATTTCATTCATGCGTCCCAGCGCGACGTAATCAATGATTTTACGATTGTAACGCGATCCGTTTCATTGAGCAACGAGCATTGAGTTCAGGAGTTCAAATGAAAGGTTCTAAGTGTCAGTAGGTAATATAATCGAAAACTAACTTTAGTTATATAACTATTAAGGTTTCAATTTATATTCAACGGTTTCTTATACAAACTACTCCAGTTTTGTTTAACCTATGTATTTACTAGTTTCTACCAAAAATGGTTTCCATGTTTCAGACCATCTATGCCAATTTTATTCATATCTACTTAGCAGTTTTTACGTGATAGACTAACGTTAGATTAGATGTATTTACATCTAGCCACACTCAGAAACTTTTGCGTTTGTTATATCGCTAATAAAAACTTAGTCGTTGTCTACTTGTCCAAGAAAATATTAAGAACAATAATATCAATCCAACATTTAAATCCCACATCAACATTTCCATTCTATTGGATGTATTCAAAAACGGCCTGTCGATGGTCATAGAAAATTGCAAGAAACAGATTATTACACTTTGAAAAGTAAGTTCAAATCTAACACGCACATCTAGGTAAATCTCACGACCCGAGGCAATCGTAACTCTCAAATTATAACAGGAAAAGTCTTACGCGCATTTTATACCAATATTTTATAAAAATGGCTACAGATTTCCTTATACAACATTCATGGGGGTTAATTTATTCGGTCCCTTTCGTAATACTAGGGGTAGGTGATGATATACTTTAGCAGGTTTCCGGCTTTTAACACCCGTAGTATCATTAAAGTACACCTTATCCGCCATTTTAATATCTCACTTTCATTATAGCTGTTTTAGAAGTTCGCTAAAGCTAAAGTGTAAACAGAATGCTGTAAAGAGGTTTTGTTTCTGTAACTTCTGATACTAGTTAAAGAGGTTAAGGCGCTTGCTTTTCTGCATGAGGGCGTGGGCATAAACAAGACCTATTTTTTTCATTACAGATAGTTCGAAGTTTAAGAAAGTTTTGCAAAGATATTACTTAAGACACACACATAGAACACAATATCGTAGTATATCATAACCAATGTACCGTGTCAAGACAGCACTGGCAGACGGCATAAATACTGAGTATTTTTAACATCAAAAAAAGATTCAAAATGTCTGCGGTTTTATTTCTCTGTCATCTTAAATTCTTCCTCATAATTTTAATGAGATGCATCGTCGACTTCGGATTTTATGCATCGTTTATTAATATTTATTAATAACACAATATTTTATGCAATAGACTTTATTATAGTAGACGTTTTATTTATGCATAAAACGACACTATTTTAGTCGATTTTTTGTGAGGGGAAAATCATCAAATGGCTTCTGTAGGGACTGTCAGACTCTTACTGGCTAAAAATACCTCCGTTCCTTTTCCTGCTCTGGGCCTAGGTCGCGGTGTCTCATTGCGCTAACCCCGCAACCCCGGCTGAACATTGTATTAGACCTAAAATCCTCGTTTGATAGATTAAGATAAACTTACTAACATTTATTGAGGTCTTCAACGCCATATTTCTACTTCTAGTCTATAGCGTTTACACGTGTAGGTATGCGGATTGGATTCTCATACAAACTTTCCAAGTCAAAAATAATGGAAACTACTAAACCGATTTCAATGAAAATTGGTAAGCCACATAGTACAAAACAAAATCGCTTTGTCTATCCCTATATCCCTATATCCCTATGGAGGCTTAAATCTTTAAAATAACGCAATGGATTTTAATTGAGATTTTTTTTGTGCGAAGTGGGGCGGGTCGCTGGTACAGATAAAATATTTTGAAGCTAAAAAAGTTAATTTCTCAATTCTTTCAGTGAGTTCTTATACCTAAGTAATTTTACAATTGTCTTACTCTCTCTAGACTCATTTAACGTAACGTTATGTTTATTACGTTTGAGTACAACTACAAAGTTTCATTCAAATATTGGATAGTATTGGAAAGTTGTTTTAAAAGCCTGGCCTCATAAACGCTCTTAAACCTGTACATAACTAGACAATACAAAATCTATTGCCTACCTAGTATCAATGTAAGAACATTATCGTTAAGATCGCTATGATCGAATTATAAATAAAGAACCTTTATAAGGGAATGACATTATATTAAAAAGAACCTAAGCCCGATGGGTCAGTACTGGCACTAATAGGTCATCAGACTCCTATCTTTTAATTTGAAATTTCGTCTTTAGAATAAAACAATAAAGTTGAGAATCTAATAAAGTAGTAGGTTGGCCTGTTCGCCGCTGTACAGCGGAGATATCCCAGACCAGTTGTGCAGGAAAATACGATACGCTCATTTGGACTGCGTCTAGGCACGCGCTCAGGTCACGAATTTGTCATAAACCACCAGCTAGGAAGCTCTCGAGCGCCCTTTTAGCATAGCATTTTAAACAATAACATAAGTATTAATTTTATATAAGTAACTCCTGTTATTAATGTTTACTTTCCTTTGAACAGGGTCCGGATTTTGTAATATTGTTGGGAGTAAGTAGATGTTTTGTTTACAATAATATGAATTTGCAGTCTTATGCCAAAGATAATTCGTTTTTTAATTATTTTAAATTGAAAAGAGTTCCAATAACCACGCCTTTACATTTAAAAACGTCTTGTAAATTAAGCCTTATTAAGTTAATTGTATAAACATAGGTAATTTAATTTCTCCACTGACAACAGTTCAACGATAAACTTAAAAATTTAATACATCAAGCCCAAGCGGACGGCAGGCGAACACGCTAACTACACATTCCAATTAGCTACCGCTATTACCCACTAGATGTCGCTAGTTGTAACTACAAGTTTACTGAAAAAACAGTCTCTTCTACAACTTTTCAAGTCTTATACAACTTTTTCGACTTATACCATTATTAACAGAAACTAAAATGATATAAAATAAAAATAACAAAACACATTAGAAGTGTTTCAAAGGGAAAGTTTGTGTTCAATACACTACACGAAATCTTTATTCACAAACTACATAAAAACACAAACAAACAATGTAACAATAGTCTAGGAACAGCATTAAATCTCTTTCGAGTTTAGATTTCTTTTTATATTGTAGTGTAAAGTTACACTACGATACATCTTAATCCAATAGTCTGTGGTCTAGACGGGAATCGGTCTTTTTGCTCTCCCTATCATTCACATAAGCAGGAGGTAGAAAAAAACAGGTTTTATAGGTATTTGATGTCATTAGAAATTAATAGCCAGGTCCTTTAACCACTGAATATTCCGATCTATGTTCCTTATGTATTTGTACATTTACTACGTAAGTTCCATAAGAAAATGTATTTAAAAATATCAATCTACGATTTTACGAATAGAAAAAGAAAAGGAGGAGCAAAATACAGTTTTTGGAAATAAACAACGACTTTAAAATTATGCTAATATATGTGCAATTCAGATCAAATAGAACCGGTGTTTTTTTGACAGTAAATTGTCGGCATCACTGCTAATTAGTAATCATTAGCAATCGACGCCGCCTATCGACACTCGCAACACCAGCGCGGTACCGAGAGATTTCGGGCAATCCCTAAATCTCTCTTCCCTCTCTCTTTTCCCAACGGGAAGGGGAAGGATTGGACCTCCGAAAACCTTACTCATACGCTGAAACACAACGCTGTAATGTTTCACGCCGGTTTTCTGTGAGGCCACTATAACTAAGTATGAAAACTAATATGGCCTCAAACTAAAACTACTCAACTTAAAAACAAACTTTGTAGTTACGCAACAAATCTATATTCAGTTAAAATACTAACAATTTACGATCTAGTAGAATGCAGAGCTTGTTTAGAACACGGCTAAGTGCTTGCCCTTTGTTCGATCAAAGCTGCAATCGATAATGAGGGCGATATACAAACAATGAACATATGGCGTCGCCTGCGCGAGAGCATGCAACTCAACGCCCGTGTCATTTGACATGCGCCCGCGCCGCTATGCTTTGCGTAACAGATATTTGACACGAGCGCCCCAATCGATGTAGTCTACTGCATGATGTTTTATGCTTTGTTGAACATGGCTGCTTGATTTTCGTGTTGTTAATAATTAGTGTTATTTGTCTTTGTTAACAAACTTATCACAACCTATCAAAGAGGCAGGATGGCTTTGAAATAATTTCCTTAGTTCCGTTAAAAAAGGAAAATTACTAGGTGGAAAATGATAACCAAAACATATGTTTTGTTCAGACGATCTGATCGTCTCGCCAACATAAAATTGAAAAATAACGTTCTTAAACACACCGATAAACCGACAGTACCTTGATGCAAACCAAAATTTTTGCTACCACCTTATCCAAGGGGAAACATAGCGTGACTATACATAATACGTACACCATACAGGGTGTACACTAAGAGCAAATCCGTCAAAACAAAAAGTACCACTACACATGAGAACACTGGCCCACGGAAGTGCGACAGTCACTTCCGAATGACTGACTCCGTTCTTACAAAGCAAGTTCGTAAACTACCCACCAAATACTCGTAGACAACAAAATCTTAGAACACCCCAAGATTGTTTAAGCGCAAATTTTCTCTCTCTTTCTCACTTACCGAAAGTGATTGAATAAACGATATTATTATGATTATGAGTTTTTTTTTTTTTTTTTTTTTGTGAGGGGAAAATCATCAAATGACTTCTCCCGCCCAGGGCCGGGCAGGAGGGAGTGTCAGACTCTTACTGACTAAAAACCCCCCTGTTCCTTCTCCTGCTCTGTGCCGAGGTCGCGGTACCTCATTGCGCTTACCCCGCAACCCCGGCTGAACATCAGCCCTTTAGGGCCCCGTCTGTGGATTATGAGTATGATAGAAGTTTTCACCTAATAGGATAATTCCCACGCTATGGGATGAAACTATATCATAGAGTAGGTACCTAGATAAGCCACAATGACAGAATCATAATTATACTGTGACTTTGTTTCGAAGAGTGTCTGGAGGTATAAACTTATTAATTTATTTCAGATTCCATAATGCATACTTTACTGATAAATACTTTGACCTACATTGTATCTATTCGATCTACTAGGCGGCTGTGAATACACAGGAGTATCACAGCCAAAGCAAGGAATAGGTACAGGAATAGGTCAACATTTTAGGGCGTGACACTTCCAAAATAGGAGCGTGGCGCGTGGCGAGGCTTCCGGAGCGGGCGGCTCGTTCGGAAATAGAGGCTGTCGTGGGACCCGGACCACGTGACGTCACGTCCCACCATTTCACACGCCAGTATATTGAGTGCCTCTTTGAAATTAGAAGCATTCTCTGTCAAAAAGAACATCTTTTTGAATTACGGTTTATGAAGGCGGGAGTGACACTGTTAACTAAACTCTTTGCTGCAAATATGCATAATGATGTATTTGATTTGTGTAGGTTACATTTACGATCTTAAAGAATTAATAGCATACAAACATCTTATTACCGAACTGTTTCGTTTATGTAGAGTTTTGTACAGTTCCAAGATTTTAGACATCCAACAAAACACAGCTATGTACAGTCACATACATACCTATATATCCATAGGTACCTTTAATCTCATAGCCGGCACAACATCGATTAATATCGCCTACAAAGGGCGAGTGAGGGCGATGTACGTCCCTTCATTGTTTACGCACCTCCGCATCTCAGACAAGATCAAAGATTAACTACTCTATACTACTCCATACCACTTTTACGATATTGATGAAATACTGCTGTAAAATGTTGCACGTGACTTGAAACTCGTGTGTTTATAGTCACGTTCGCTAAGTGAGCCTTTAAAATATTGAGCTACGAAATAAAGAGGTTTCAAAGTTAGAGGTTGTTATGTATTGGAAATAGGTCTCGTTACTAGGTATTTAGTTATTTGAATAAGCTTATAAAGAATATTCAAATAACTAAATAGATATCGAACAAAAGTCTCCAATCCCAAAACCTCCAAATCTCTAATCCCCAAAGGTATCCCCATAAGGTTCGGCCACGCACTCATTGGTAGCGCTGAATGCTTTCCATCTGGTAAACGGTTTGCTCTTTTGCCGAACTATCATGTAAAAAAATGCTTTAAAAAAATTTAACGTATCTTATCAATCATCCAGGAACTTTGATTTTTATAAATGATGTAGATAGTATAATAAAGTCTAAGCAAATTAAAAAGAAATCGCTTCTGTTTATCAACATGTTCATGAATTGATAAAAATATTAAAACAACATTTTACCCCAGCGAACCAACCATATTTCATTTCTGTTGCCAAGATACTTCGAATGAAGCCTCAGTCCTTGGCAACAAGACTATTATAGTGGTATTGAATATAAGTAACACAATATTATATACCAGTCTAAGTTTATAATGTTTCCATAACGATACACATACCTCCTGACTTCGGGCGATGTTGGAAGGCTTCTAGATTTCCTGCTCTTGCTATGCTGGCGGTGATGGCCGTGACCCGAGTTCGTGTTACCCATGGCTCGTTTATATCAAG